AGTGAGTCAGGATACCACAGGAAGCACAGTAAGGAACAGAGATTAGAGATGAGAAACACAGGGATTTCCCTGGCGGTCCAATGGTTAAGACTCCACACTTCCAAAGCAGGGGATGCAGGTTCGATCTTTGGTCAGGGAACTAAGATACCGTATGTCACGGTGCCAAAAAAGAAAAGCAAATGAAAAGATAAAAAATAATTAAGAACAAATGATAGAAATCAATGACAGGCAGAGGAAATCCAACATACAATTGGAGTTGCCAAAGAAAACCAAAGCAGTGGAATAGTACAAATATTTATGAATATAATTCAGGAAAACAAGAAATATTAGCTTGGTACAGGGAATGTTTCTTTTCTTACACAGTGTTTTCCCTGGCTGGTCTCTTCACATTTGCCTGATTTTCCAGTATTCAGACTCACATTCTCCACAGTTCTGTGAAACTTCTCACAATACACAGCCCGACCTCTAGAGAGCCTTAAGTCTGGCCTGCTGACTATCAATCTGGATTGGTTGCCAAGTCTCTTCACAACTGTAATCCTAGGACTTCCTGTTATCTCACTCCTGTTTGATCCTGTTTCTATATACTACATTGTATTTTTTTTTCCTGACTTATTCTTGTCCTGATGGAGTTTATCCAGTTTATCCCTGAGAATCAGTCTTCCATGAACTTACATATCTAGTCTTTATTCTGTGGTGACCCAGAACCATAGTTCATTTACACTTCTGAAGATAGTGCCCCACTGATTCCTAGGTTCAATGTTGTCATTGGGTATTTTTCTCAATCCTTTTTCTATCTGGTAAATTTTAGGATGGGTCCCTTAGAGGCCTGGCATCCTAAAATTTTATAGTGGTATGGTTTCATATGGATCTTTCCTATTTATTGTGCAAACTCAACATCAGCCTTTCTTCTATCTTAAAATTCAAAAAATCGTCAGGGAAATTTTCCTTTATTTAATAAATTCCATCCACTCCCCTATTTTCTGTTTTCTTCTTGGAACACTTATTGATTTTATATTATAAACCTCCTGAATTGATCCATATTTATTTTTTCTACTTTTGATTTCTGTTCTAGAACATCTCCTTGTCTTTTAATACTCTCACTGAATTTATTTATTCTCATTTCTTGTTGTGACATTTTATTAGTATTCTGTTCTAATTTCTTGAATACAGTATAAGCTTTCAGATTCTTGAGAGTTGGTTTTTATTTAGCTCTACCTTTTGCAGTCAAAATTCTTCTCAATTTCTGCTGACCTTTGGCTGACTTCATTGAAAAGTGAAGCACTAAAAACCTGTTTGGAAGGTTTGTGTACATGGGCAGGGCTTACTGATCAGCACACTCCACTCGAAGAGGACTGGTGGCCAGTTACTTTTTGGTTTTGTTGTTCAGTTGCTCAGTTGTGCCCGACTCTTTGTGACCCCATGGACTACAGCATGCCAGGGTTCCCTGTCCTTCACCACCTCCCAGAGCTCGCTCAAACTCATGTCCATTGAATCGGTGAGGACCCTCAAATATTAGCATCTGTCTTTTCACTCAAGAGCAGCTTAGTATTTCCACAGTGAAAGTGAAAGAAAGTGAAGTCGCTCAGTCGTGTCCGACTCTTTGCAACCCCGTGACTGTAGCCTACCAGGCTCCTCCGTTCATGGGATTCTCCAGGCAAGAATACTGGAGTGGGTTGCCATTTCTTACGTGTTTAAGTATGGTTATTGGTCTTCTAGAGCTGAAAACAGATAAGCTAGGGATCTCATTTATCTAGTATGTAAATCTACTTAACTCCTACTTTCTGGGCAGTAGTAACTCATTTAAGCATATTAACCCTGAGTAAAAAATCTACTTTTTCCTTTTTTAGGTGAATTGCTATTAGAATAACTTCAGCCTCCAACTTCAGAGGCCATAGTGTAAAGTACTACTCAACAGAGACTCATTCATATACATTTTACTCAAGGTTCTTAAATTAAAATTTGTTGTTTTAGAGGTATGTTCTTCAAATTCTAAACAGTCAAAATGTAGTCACTGGAAAAAAATGCAATAACTCTGTACACAAAAAAGATTTTGTGTTTAGAAATCATCACTCTTTCATTGAAAGGGTTTGCTCTTTATTTCCTACAAACACAGTTTATTTTTCCAATTCAACTGTAACCTCAAGAGCACCCTGTAGCTCTTAGTAAACTCAACTCTAATTCTCTATGCAAACTAGTCCTTACCAACCATCTTTTCCAAAGTAATAGAACTCTTAAAAACACATACAAAAGGAAGTTGAGTAAGCACAGAAACAAACAGGAATAAAACAAGAATGTGAATCTCATCTTCCACAGGGAGAGAATATCACACAAGGAAAATGAGATCCTGGTTTCATATAAGTTCTCTACAGCAATTCTGTGCAGTATCCCAATGCAAAGCATGGTTTCTGGAATAAGATTAAAAAGAAACTGAACAAATACCTGAGTGATATAACAATATGGCTAGACCAAAAAGTAAAAAAAAAAATCTCACACACAATAATAACTGCAAGCAGATCCCAAAGGTTATAGAAAACATAAAGGAACTTTAATATCCAAACAGTCAGGGCAAAGAATACTGGATTAATGAATCCCTTAAGCGTGAACCACTTCAGGTTCTTTACAGTACCAGATGTATTTTAAAGTAAAATCTGAATGCATATTGCAGAGAATGAATTCATTTTAAAAACTGTAATTTCCTTACCAGATACTAATACCAGTATGATTTTTAGACTGTAAATTTTTAAAGTGATTTAACACTGAGAATAAGATTTACAGCAAAGTTAGCAATGTTCCTGAATTGCAAATTTGTTCAGTAGTAACCCTTTGAGTAATGCTACTTTCTTCTCAAAAAGTAGTCTGTACATTTTAGAATTGTGCAATAAAAAAATATTGGCTAATAAAAAGTATTATTACTTGAGACAGTCAAAATGAAAGGAAAACTACACTTTTGCTTATTTATGCCCAAATAATTTACCCTGCAGTCCACAGATGTACAGGACATAAAATTTTTTTGAATAAGAGAAAAATGACGAGGGTCCTAAAACAGGAACATAAACCAGAAGAATCTAAAAACAGCATCCTATTATTTCATTTTTTGAGTATTTCATTTAAGCTGCTTTTGGTTGCATGCCCTGATCTGTAGAAGTTAACAAGGAAATAAAATTTCCAAGTGTTTACAACTGCATAGAATTGAGCCCCAGAGAATTACACATTTATGAGCTGTCTTTCCTGGGCTCTGGTTTACTGGAGTATTGGCTTAGAGACCAGTTCAGGCTCTTTTGCCTGGAGAATACAGGCCAGGAATCTCTTAAGATTCGACGGGCCGTTTCTGTTCCTAAACAAAACACCGGGAGCTCTCTGGTCTTAAAAAGAACAACCAAGCATCCAAATAGGTATACCGGGGATCCTTTCCCTTTGTGAGTCAAACAGGAGAGTTTGTGACTTTTACAGAAAACAAAACAAAACAAACAAAATCTCCCACTATTGTTCTAAGAGACTCTGAAATGTACTAGAAATTTCAAAACTAGAACAATGCCATCAAAGATTAAACTTCTTAATGCTTGGAGCCAACCCAAAATAATAAAAGTAGGAACTCCAGGAAAACAGGTACCAAAAGAATCAAAGTAATGATTGCACTGAGGATTCTCCTCTTTGAAGGCTGTTTAAGGAGGTAGGATTTCAAGGGTTTTTTTTGTTGTTGTTGTTTATCTTTTGGCCTCTGAACATTTAAAAAATGCTTTGCTTGGCTGGTCATTCAGGCTAATTTTGGAGTTCACAAGGAACCCCCACGCCTGACATAAAGATATTCTACAGTTTCACAGCTATCATTTGTACATATTAAAATCAAGTTGACTTACTCTTTTTGAGTAAATATAACTAGAATATGGCAAATTGATATTTTTTTTACATACAACTTTGTGTCTCAAAATTCTTGAAAAACAAGAGCTGATGACTTTGTATTCAAAGACTACCAAAATGTGTATTTGATATTCACATGCAAACAAAACTTTATAAATCTCCTGTCGACTCAGCATGATGCCTTTAAGGAGGAAATGACATACAAAGTTTGGTAACTGTGCAAAATATTAAACTGCTAAAACATTTTACATAATGAAATAATACATGTAAATATAGAAGTTGACATATGAAACTAACATGGGTTCATAAGAACTTATCACATTTCAGAGATTTTCTTTAGTAACAAGTTTTTTTTTACAATTCCTGGTACACAGCAAAGTTTATCACAGAAGATAAAAACCCTTTTAAACAGATTAAACAGGGAATTCTTGAGGCACCTTCTCATATAAAACACAAGATGAATACAATTATCAATCCATCTGAGAAAAGTTTTCAATCTAAATGAACATCATTTTTTTTCCCATTTAAGTGTATTTTACAGAACTTTAATAAGGCAAGACAAATTTGTGAAAAAAATGTAGATACAAAAATGATGTAAACTAATAATTTATATTTAAAAACGGCAGAGGGAAATAGTGGCGATGGGACAGCTCAAACAATGTCTATTTCAAAAAAACCTAAAACAGAATTGTGCATTAGCTGAAGATTACAAAGAACTTCTAGACTCTGCACAGTTTTGGTTTTTCTTTTTTTTTTACATCTTTATATTACATGTTTTAAATCATATCAGGAATGCAAACTAGAACTGCACACTACTTCAGTGGAAAAAAGTTCAACATTGTGCAATTTTCTGCCTCAATTTTAAAAAAGTGGCAGCAATCCCTGCATTTGTATTTGAAACAAGGATCTGAGAATCTTTATCAAAAAAGGTAATGAAGGCAAAAATTGGCAGACATCCAGCATCTTGTTTCTTTTTAAAACAATGTGGATGGTAAGTAATTTCATGATTGAAAAATGAATCTTTTAAATAAATACACTGTATCTGACATTTGCTCTGACTGATTTGATAAATCTGTAAGTAAACAACGGCTTTACTACTCCCTGTAGCCTTAAGCCCCTGACTTTAGTTCTGGAGTCCTTTTTCACTGGGTTTCATACCCTGCCACTCGATACCCTGCAGGCTGATTAGGCATCATGCTGCCATTCTGTCCTGGAGGTGGCTGCACTCCATAATTTGGTCCCATCCATGGTGGAGAAGACTGTGTCTGACTGGTGGAGAATGTGAAAGAAGCAGAGGGGAAGGGAAATCCACTGATTAAAATAAAATGTAATGCCAAGAAGAAATTACACATATGTGGGAAATATCCTTTTTCTTAAGCCCAAATATAAGAATAATTGTTATGTCAGAGAAAGCAAAGGCAAAAGGTTTTTTTCTTTTAAAAATAAGCATCCATGTAGCTTTAATTTATATAGTTAATTCTGTTAGTTTAACTACAGCTAAGAAAACATCCTTTATCTATAAACATTTATTCCCTTTGAACTCAGAAAAACTCATCTTTAATCTCAGAACTGTTCTCCTGGGGTTTGATATACGTTGAACAAGCCACTGTCTGAAAGAATCTTGATTATCTGGTATAATACGGACTTGCATTTATATTACTCAAATAAATTAAAATATTTATTAGTATATGTAAGCTTATAAATATTTCAACATAACAAGATTCATTTTAAATAAAAACTGCAAAGTATTTTTCAGAAATTTAAGTAAAATTGCACAATTCAGGATATATAAAGAAGCTTCTGTATAACAATGTATGAATAAACCCTTCTGCATAGGAAAAAAGTCTAATGAATAAAGCAACTAGGATCAAAATAACTGTATCCAAGAAAGGCTAGTGACCATTAGTCACATAAAAACCTTAACAACTATTAAGTTCCTATTTTCTTACTTAAATATTTGTTGAGTCATTCAAGCATTACCAAAGTCCTTATAATGCTGGTTATAAATCAAAGCAACACATTTGCAGGCAATTTTTTAAAGATATACACTTAAAACCATAAAGTAAAAAACAGAGACTCTAAGTCCTTCAAAGGCTACGCTTTAGATAGAAGGCCACATTACCTGCTAATTACTTAAAATCTCTTCCTAAGTTCTTGACATTTTCAAAGGTTAATAATAAAGGAAAAGAACAAGTGTGCTTACTTAAATCCTTGCTGGTTCCATGGCTGGCCATACATTCCATATGCAGGTACTTGCCAACCATTAGGCATATACTGGCCAATTTGTTGTGCATTCCCATACCACTGGCCCCACTGGCCATAAGCTTGTGGATATCCAATTTGATTCTGCTGTTAAGTAAAGTTATAACAGATAATTTAGTATTATTTGAAATTATAGGTGCATATACAGTCCTTATATACCACAAATAAACAGATATAACACATAGGGTCATCATTACAATGAAAACTAAAGGATAAGCAAGAGTAAGTTGTCACTGCTAAAAAACAGTGAGGTCATACTGCTTCAACTCTACAATGATGCTCTAAATGCCATATTCTTTGAGCCAGCAGGTAATGCCCTAGAAATAAATATTCAACTCAGGATAACATTTTTTTTTTTCAGGATAACATTTAAGTGTTTTGTAAATTATCCATATGACTGTTTCCTTTAGATAAGGAAGATATGAAGACTATTCTTATATTCAGTTTACTTAATAAAGTTATATAGTTTAGGATTTTCTCAATCCTATCTTGATGTTTCATTTACTATTTCCTCATAGAAATGTTTGTGGGATCAAGTTTGAACTACTAGAGCTGCCTGGAAAAACAGAGGTGACAAAATCTGGAAGAAAACACCAAGGTCCTAAATATCTTTATAGCTTTTGTTTCAACTGAATTCAAACATGCTTGTGAGTTCTCCAAATAGTATATAAGTCTACTAAGAATTAGAAAAAAATTTAATACCCTGTTAGGTTTGTTAGAACATTTTAAAATCCACTGTGGTGTGAGCATGAGTTAGTTGAGGCAGTCACATTCATCATGTCACCACTGCATCCATGAACCATCACTCTGGAACTATAATATTATACATGTAGGAAGAGCCCCTATATGCCATCATTGTAGCTAGAAACATTAACAAGGATTATTAACAATTTCATTTAAAAATACCTATTAGCCCAGCCATTACTTTGCAAAGTCAAGAACCCTCTCACCTGTTGCACAGGATTTATCATATCGAGAGTTTCTTTGCCCCAATAGCATTTCACAACATGGCCTTCAATGGTAGTTCCATTAACAGAAACAATTGCATGTGCTGCACTTTCATGGGAATTGAACCTATTAAAAATAATATTAAGAATTACAATATAAACTATTTAAGGTACTTATAAATAAAACATATTTGAAAAAATCAAACTGGGCCTGAGGTGTAACAGGAAGTTAATATAAGAATAAAATGGCCTATGTTTTCATTTTTTCGAGAAATTTCTCTTAATAGAAATGATTTGCCTTTGTATTGGAAGGAAGGAATTATTGTGGCGAGTTTAATAAAAGCTAGAGAAATTTCTATTTCTTTATAACCAAAGTAAATTTTAAAGAAAACCAGTAAGTTAAAAGTTCAAAAATGATCTGGAGGTAAAAGTGTTTTTTAAAAACCACACCTACCGAACAAAAGAATATCCTTTATCTGGAAAGACTCGAATTTCCATTATTTGTCCAAATGGTGAAAAAGTCTGACGCATTAGTTGTTCTGTTAGACAAAAACCAAAACCGAATCGCATTAAAATCCTACAAATAAAGTACTTTAAAATTATTCTTAAGATGCCACATAGGTGAAGTCCCCATACCTGTTAGCCCGGAAGTGACGCCTCCACAGTACACAGTACAGTTGCTTGGACTAGACTGATTTACGACCTCATCATATGATAGCTGTTTGGTGTTTGCTGGGGAGAAAAGTTTAATATTTTTAGTTCATAAAATGTTCAGAAAGAGGAAAGCAATATTAACAACACTACTGTAATGGTAATATTTATCTTGATCACAATGCTTGTTTAATACATATTACAATTTGATTAAGGATTAAACCTCCCCGAAGAATGTCTAAATATTACGCAGTATTCTCTAATTAATAGGAGACTTGACATTAGAGATATTACTTATTATTTATAATTACAAAAATGAAAACTAAGTACATTTTTGAACAGTAGTCTTGATTTGCTTCTCATCTATTTCTGCAATAAGTCTCCGGGAACAGCTCTAACATTTAAAATCTAGTGTTTTTTCCTCCAAAATTCCACATTTCCTTTTCTTCTCCAATACACCTACACTCATATGTACTCTTTGGAGCTGGAGGCTTTCGGGTTGCCCAGTTAGTTCTGATTTGTCTTCCACCAAGCCACTGGCCACCCATCTGTTGAATGGCGTTTTCAGCATCCTGTTCCACACAACATTAGAAATGACAAAGAAGCCACTATTAGTTGATGTTAAACAACTTTGTGCAAAAGAGAAAACTCATGGTTGCTTTCCACAAATGTTTTCTTAATGGAATACTTTATGATATACACAATATATGACAGCTTTTCTAAAATACAATGGTGCTTTTATTTATTTTACAATGGTGCTTTTAAACTGTCTTTCTTTTACCTCATAAGGGCTTTTGGGAATTTTAATCACCTGAAAGACTCGAGCCCAAAAGCCCTTGTGAGGTAGCCATTGTCAAGTTCACATAACAACCCAGACTATTATGGATGAGAATCTCACTTTATACAATCCAACAAGCTTTCAACAATAGTGTCTGGTTACTCATTCATCTTACAAGTAAATACTGAGCAGTCATCATGTTCTAGACAGCAGTTAACGTTAAGTGCTGGGAATACAGTCAAAGAGGCAGACACGGTCTCTGCTGCCATGGAGCTTCCATTTTTTTGGAGGGGACAAATAAAGTAATTATTAGTTATGGTTAAGTGCCATGACAGAAACAAAAGGCTGAGAGCAAGAATATGCCATGCTGAGATACAAGGATGGGAATCTACCTTAGGGCGGCACGATCAGGGAAGGTCTCTTAGAAATGACTTTTAAGCTGAAACGAGAGGAAAAGGAGCTAGAAAAGTAAAAAAAGCAGAGTGTTCCTGGTAGAGGGAAAACCACTGCAAAGTGTGTTAAGGCAGGCAAGAGTTTGGTACACATCTAAAAGAAGCATGTGAAACACGACTAGTTTCACTGGAATCTAGTGTGCCAAAAGGAAAAGTGTGAGAAGAAAAAACTGACTATTTTAAGTAAGAGATTATCATGATCCAATTTATGTCTTAAGAAGGCCATCCTTATGTTTTAAGGAGAACAGTTTGGGGAGATAAGACAGTAAAAAGACACTTTCTAAGACTAATGTAATATTCAGATTAAAAAAGAATGTTGGTGACCAGGACTAATATAGTAGCAGTGATGTGATCTAAAGGAAGAGTCAACAGAATGGGGGCGGTGGGGGTGCAGTGTGCACAGTAACTAAAAGGGCAGGAATCAAAGCCAACTCCTAGGTTCCTGCTTGGGCAGTAGGGAGGACAGTGCTGGTATTTACGGAAATGAGAAGCCTGGGAGGCAGTGGAGGAACAAGTTTGAGGAAGAAACAATTATTTAAGACACATTAAGTTTCAGATATGTGTAAGACATCTAAACGAAGACAGTTTGTTGGTTAAGTGTGAAGTAAGTGGAGCTGCAGATATAAGATTCAGAGCCATGAAGAAAGACTGGAGAGAAAAGAGTGTCCTAGGATAGAGCCCTGAAAAACAGCAAAATGTGAAAACTGGATAAAGGAGAAATTGCGAGCTAAGGTGACTAGAAGGAATAGCTACTGATGAAGGAAGAAACCCACAACAATGTACTGTCAGAGAGCCAAGCAAGCAGAAATCAATAGGAGAACTTGAAAAGAGTAGGCTTGGTATAGAGTAAGAATAAAGCCAACTTAAGAACAGACTGAAAAGGACGTGGGGTTCAGCTTTGGTTAGCCTATGTAAACCATAGCTTTGGTAAGCTTAACCTAGCACAAAAGAACAGGTAAATTTAAGGCTGAAAGCTGTTCTTGAGATACATAAAAAGGAAATGATTCTTAAAAAAGAAACAAATATTGCTTTTCACACTAACCAGTCTGAACTCTGTAAGATGTTTAATAACTATCTGTTGTTGGTTGAACTGTGTCACTTAAATTTATATGAAGTCTTATCTATCCAGCCTCATAATTGTGGAAGTGACCTCATTTGCCTTTGAAATAGGGTCTTTGCAGGTATATGTTAAGATGTGGTCATACAAGTTAGGGTGGGCCTAAGATAAGAAGATAAGAAGTTAACAAGGACACACATAGAGGAAGGAGGGTCATGTGAAGACAAAGGTCGAGACTGGACTGATGCAGCTACAAGTCAAGGATCCAAGGACTACCAGTTACCACCAGAAACTAAAGAGAGAAGGAAGGATACTTCCAGCATCTTCAGATGGAGCATGGCCATGATGACAATCTGATTCTGGACTTCTATCCTCTAGAACTTAAGAGAATCTTTTTATTGTTCTAAGTCATTCAGCTACTTTGATACAGCAGCCCTAGAAAACAAATATAATTATATGCTCATATACAACGACAGGAAAGACTTCCTCCACTGTAACAGGAGGAAGAGGGAGAAGATGAGAGCATTTAATGTAGGTTTGGTGGCAGAAAGCTGAGGGAATTTCTGTATGATAGCTTTTACTTTCTCATTTGAAGCTCAGGGTGATGATGAAGAAAAAGAATGAGGAATATTTGAGGAGAAATGAGGGAGCATGAAATAGTTTTTCTAAGAACAGGGAATCAGTTTTACAAAGAGAGTGCCATGTATTTAATTTATGTGTAACCGCTAAATCAGAAGTGAAACCAGCTGACTCAGTTTCTCTCTAGCAACACTCAGTTACTTCAGAGTAAGCAGGGAGGTATGTCCAACCAGTACTGGAGTTTGCCTAGGACACACAACACAGGAGAGGCAAGGGAGCCAGGGGCAATTGCAATCAGTGCTGTGGCACGTCGCAACACCAGAGAATGCCTGCCAGTCACATAGCACAAAGTTATAGAAACTAAAATATAAATGTGGGAAGATCAAATTGTATCACTTATTCTAAGTTATATACCTCTTGTGTGATGATTGTCAGGATTATAATCCATGTCTGGTTAACTACAGAGGTCACAGACAGACATCCTCTGCTATATCTGACTTTCATACTAACTATGCATTAAATAGTGACATATAGCAGCGGAATATATTCCATAATCCCAAATGCAAAAAAGTGAGTTTTTACTCCACCCAAAGCTCTCAACCTGTATCACCAGGTATCACAAAACATTGACAACCTATTTATCAACCCTTTAAGGTAAATGTGGCTATCAGTTCATTGCATGAGGTATTCTTCTATCTTCCCTAAATATTATGTTGTGATTAACAGACTTTAAGAACTAGTTAGTCTCAGTTTTTATTTTTTCATCTCCTTTTACACCTAGTAGATGGGATCATACATGACAGAGCTTTTACATCTTCACCTCTCAATATGCTTTACCATTTGCAATTTTTCTAATATACGGATTTTTCCTGACCTCTTAGATTAATACTTGCTTCTTAGAAGACACTTTCACTTCATGAGAGGAAGATGATAGTTACAAAAGAATCTGATCAAAAGATACGATGCCACTGTGTGAACAGCTGACACACAATTACAGTGAATTCTGCCTTCTTTTGCCTTAACTTAAAAGCCATGTTAAGGACTTCCCAGGTGGCGCAGTGAATAAGAATCTGCCTGCCAATATAGAGGACATGGGTTCGATCCCTGGTCCAGGAAGATCTCACATGTTGAGGAGCAACTAAGCCACATGTTGAGGAGCAACTAAGCCCATGTGCCACAACTACTGAAATCTGCATGCTCAAGGGCCTGCAAAAAGGAGTTGTGCCCCCCACTGTCCACAACTAGAGAAAGCCCTCTTGCACCAATAAAAGCCCGGCACAGACATTAATTAAAAAAAAAAAAGCCATGTTAACATTTTCAGGACTGATTTTTTATTTGAAAAGTAAATTTTGGAAAAGTAAAATGGCTGCAAGCTGGCTGTTACAGCGAATATCTGGATAGGGAGGAATAACCAGACATTAGTTTCAATATAAGCAGACACAGGAACTAGAAAATATAAGCCAATCTGACACTAGTTGGCATAACTGCAAACAGACGTTTTTAAAAACTCGGAAGGGTCTCTTTTCATTTTGGTGGTGGGCTGGTTGAAGATGGAGTCCCCTGAGGAAGGAAAGCCTGGGTCTTCAGCACCACGTGTGCCAGCCCAGAAGCAGCAGTGTGAAAACCTCTATAACATCTGCAGACCCCTAAAAGTTAAGGAGACTTTGATTTGGACATTCTCAGTAGGAATGGTTAAAGGCTAATGGGACCATAGAGAGATGCCAGATGCTTGATAGATCCTGTAGTTCAACTTGACTCCTAGAGAGAAGCTGTTCATATGATACCAGAAAAATGAAATTTCAGGAGACTAGACTGGAGTCTCACTTCTTTTCCAGCCCGGAACTCTTGGGAGCTGTAATCCTGGATATATAGTAGATAATAATAGCATTTTTGTTTTATGCATGAAGGTGGATGATTCTTCAAATTAAAGATGGACACTGACTTTTCTCACCAGAAATGGTTTATAAGAATCAACTTGCAAAAATTTAAGAGGCAGTAAAAGAAAGAGTAAAATATTTTCTTCTATCATTCTTTGATTCTTTGCTAGATTGTAAACTTCATGAAAGCAGGATAACTTGCTTATCTGTAATGCCTGACCCAGAATAAATACTCAAGAAATTCTTGAAGTTAATTAAAATATCTGTAGAATTTTGGTTTTTTTTTAATTTTTGGAAATGACAACCATTTTATGGCATTTCAACAAGATTACATGGAATACTTGGGACTTCAATTTTTACTTGATAAGCTACCTGGATAGCAATGAGTCTTACTAATAACTTCTGTTATAATATGAAATCTATTCTCTAGATTATGATTTTTCTGTTAAAGCAAATATAAATATCAAATTAGATTTAGAGTAGATGATGCTGACTATCTCAGATTCAAACATACTAGGAAAATTATTATTTCTGAAGTTCTTAGAGAAATGTGGTACATAATATAGCCAGTAAGTACTTGTAATATCTAAACAAGATCAAAATCAAACTTTATGGTAAAATACCAGTTAAATGGTACATGATAATGAATGCACAAATTGTGCTGTCAGAGTTTATCCAGACTTTTTATGTTAGGAAGAATGGATTAAAGATCTGTAAATGGAAAGCAAAACTTCAAGCCTATATAAAAGCAAAGACTATGGCACTGTGACATTGGATTAGTCATAAGGCAAAAGAAAAGACTGATACATTTGTATACACTAAAATTCAAACTTAAGTTTGCATGCTATGTAACTGACAAAGGCTCCATTTAAATAAAAAAAATGATCAAAGGATATGAATGGGCAATTCATAGATGAGGATCCCTAAGTAGTCATTCACATGAAAAGATGCTTAATCTAACAACTGATAAAATAACTTTACATTAAAACAACACTGAGATTCCATTTCACTGCCATCAGATGGGCAAAAATCGAAATAGAATAAATGAACTCTGACACTTAAACATGTTGCCAAGGCTGGAGTTACTGGTAGCAGTGAAATTAATTTATTACTTTGGAGAAGGTTTGGCAACATCATTTTTTTTTAAGATGATTATACCCAATCTTTGGGTATCCTTAAAGAGTTCTTGACATGTATACTCAAGGAAATGGGCACAGAAGGTTTATTGCAGTAAAATATTTTTAGTTGTAAAAACCTGGAACCAATGTCCATTAGAAGAATGAATAAATAAATTGTGGTTTGTGGAAAAAAAAAAAAAAACTCGGAAGGAACTGGTACAATAAATGATGCTTATAAATTTCACCCGATGTGGAGAAAAGGGAACCCTCTTACACTGTTGGTGGGAATGCAAACTAGCACAGCCACTATGGAGAACAGTGTGGAGATTCCTTAAAAAACTGGAAATAGAACTGCCATATGAGCCAGCAATCCCACTCCTGGGCATACACACTGAGGAAACCAGAACTGAAAGAGACACGCGTATCCCAATGTTCATCGCAGCACTGTTTATAATAGCCAGGACATGGAAGCAACCTAGGTGCCCATCAGCAGACGAATGGATAAGAAAGCTATAGTACATATACACAATGGAATATTACTCAGCCATTAAAAAGAATAATTTGAATCAGTTCTAATGAGATGGATAAAACTGGAGCCCATTATACAGAGTGAAGTAAGCCAGAAAGATAAACACCAATACAGTATACTAATACATATATATGGAATTTAGAAAGATGGTAACGATAACCCTATATGCAAGACAGAAAAAGAGATACAGATGTATAGAACAGACTTTTGGACTCTATGGGAGAAGGTGAGGGTGGAATGATCTGAGAGAACAGCATTGAAACATGTATATTATCAAGTGTGAAACAGATCGCCAGTCCAGGTTGGATGCATGACAAGTGCTCAGGGCTGGTGCACTGGGATGACCCACAGGGATGGGATGTGGAGGGAGGTGGGAGGGTGGTTCAGGATGGGGAACACACGTAAATCCATGGCTGATTCATGTCAATGTATGGCAAAAACCACTACAATATTGTAAAGTAATTAGCTTCCAACAAATAAAAATAAATAAATAAATTTCACCCGAAGTTATCAATGATAACTTCAAATGATACCTATTTCAAATACTCCCTTTACCAAAGAAAATCCTTTCTAAAATACATTTCATAGTATCAGAAATTTTAATGGCTCATTCTAAGGCACTCTTGCACAAAAAATACAGTATTTTTGCACTTATCACTGGCAAACAATCGTAACATAAAGGCAATACAATAAAATTAAAGGTTAATGAAACCTGAGTGTATAATCCAGGATTAATGCATATAAATTCTCCTACCATCCACCTCTGTATTTTTAGAAGTGTGATAGCTCTGCATTTAATTGTTTGGAACCTTGAGTTATCACACTAAAAAATTTACTTGAATTAGTAACATATTTACAAGGTTCAAACTTCACACAGGAACAGCTACAAGTTTCTTGCCCTCCTGCCCAAGTGCCTCTCATTACCTAGCCCACAAACAGGAAACCTTACCAGTGTCTTACTAATCTCTGCAGGGGGAATGCAGGGGAAAAAGAAATCACCCCCACCCTGCCCCCTGCCACACACACACACATATAATATGCTCTCTTCTTTTTTACACAAAAAAGTTTTTTTACCTGACAATATCCCATGGAAATGTTTCCATAACCAGTACTTACAGAGTTCCTCATTTGTTTTCCTTTTGTAAACAGCACAGTATTACATTGTATGGAGAACATACCAAAGATTTTATCCAGCTGTCATAAATATAAGCCTTTCCTTCTCTATAACCTCCTTTCACCTCTCATTTGACAAACTATGCAATCCTTCCTTTTCTCCGCAAAACTCAGAAACTTCAAGCCTATGCAAATTCATGTTCAATAGTGTTTACTGAATGAAGGAAATGATGAGACATTTTCAAATACATTAATATACTATTTTTAGAAAACTTCCCCTCCTCGCCCGCGGGCTGGGACGGGTGGTGTGGGGAGAGGCGTGGCGCGGACAAGAGTCCGGGGGCGTCGCAGGGCGGCCCCGCCATCCCTTTTCCCAGGGGGGGCGAGCGGGGCCGGGGGGCTGGTGGAGCGCGCCCGTCGCGGCTGTCACCTCCGTGCACGCACGTGTCCCTTCCCTCTGGTCCCGGCGGCAGGGAGAGGGAAGCTGACGGCACGTGGGTGCTCGCGGGGCCCCTGCGCTCTTTCCTCCCCACCGCCAAAAAAAAAAAAAAAAAAGAAAAAAAAAAAAAAGAAAACTTCCCATCCACTGGAACATTTTATTAGTTACTTTTAAATTAACATGGGAATATAAAACAGGGAGAAAACAAATCAAATATATAAATAAGATACTCAATATTGGTCCTATCTTTTGGATGATGATTTAAACACCTCTACTTTTTATATTCTGAAAACATTTTCTCAGTACTTTGAATGCATCAGGTGCTAAATACATGTGCTTAGTTGCTCAGTTGTGTCCAACTCTTTATGAGCCCATGGACTGTATGTAGCCTGCCAGACCCCTTTGTTCATGGGATTCTCCAGGCAAGAATACTTGAGTGAGTGGCCATTCCCTTGTCCAGGGGATCTTCCTGACCCAAGGATTGAACCCCAGTCTCCTGCATTGCAGGGGATTCTTTACCATCTGAGTCACCAGGTAAGACCAAGGTGCTAAATAAATGTTGACTAAATAACCAAACAGGAGAAAGAAGGTATCCTCCAGTAAGAGTACTAATTATCAGTGATATGAACAAATGGTAGATGACAGAAATGACTAAAAATTGAAATGAAATGAATGTTTTTGTTCTTTCTTCTCATACTGCACATGCACTTTTTATTGAGCTCACCCATTTGTTGAAAAAGGAGACAAAGCCATATCCCTTAGACTTTCCTGTTGCCATGTCTTTTACCACTCGGGCATCTCTGAAATCAGAAACAATCAGAAGTTTAGGTTTGCAAACTCTCCTCTGGATATCAAGTGAGAATTTCATACACAACTCATTTTCATGTTTCATCTTCATTAAAATGAACCTTTAATACAAATTTACCTTTTATTCTATAAAATTTATCATGTATTAGCAAATGAGGCTTAATTTTATAAACATGCAAATCAAAAACTTTTAAAATATATGTATACATTTTACAGAAACTGCCTCCCACTTCAAAAAGTTTTTACATTTTTAAATATTAAGCATGGTAAAAGCAGCTATTCACATGAATTACTTAACTTATAGGGTTCACTGGCACACTAAATGAATGGCTTTCTTTAACCATGCAATTTATAACTTGCTATTTTACACTATATACTACCTAATCATTAAAAAATTAAAATAGAAAACTGGAAACTAAAAGAATGAAAAAGTTGTATATTCCCTAAATCAATTAATTTTTTTCATTTTCTCAGATCAGTTCACACCCCCCTTCTGAACTATGGGTAAATTTTGAGAACTTGACATTTTCAGAAATGTTAAACTATTGAAGAAAAATACTAGACACACACTTTAGTCTTATTCTATATAAGAAAAGATTTTATACTAAATTCTAAAATAGCAATCATATAAGATTGATTGGAAACTACAAGATATAAAAGCAAAATTTTAAAAAGTCAGAAAGTAAAAAAGCACGCCAACATTTATCCACTGTGAACCGTAGCTTGTAGTTAGCCAGGGCAATTCTGTCCATTCTTCAGAGATACTCTGCAAAATAACCAGAGCCCTATTATTTGAGATTGAGTGAAAAACCCAGCCATGATAGCTAAAACTCCATACCTCAAAAAATTGGACTCAAATTGTGCTTCGCAGGCAATCTGCTTTTAAGTTAGCCAGGTATGTCACAATGCTTGTTCTCTCAGGACACATGAACAAAACAGGCACTTTCACAACAAAAACCCAAGTCAGAAAGCCATGCAATATAATTTTATATTAAAGTATACATAAGCATATTTTGATAAATTTAGGAGTGATTTATTAAGTGCTTAGGGTCAAAATGACAAGAGGTGATGGTGAAAGAGGAAAACTAATGCAAGTCACTTCTCAATATGTAAAAATACTTATGGTACACATGCATTTAATTTGTAGCTGATTCTTCTACAGCAAAATCTGTTAGACTACTCTAAACTCAAGGAACAGGAAAAATTTAAGCTGTATAAATTAGGGAAAGAAAGTGCTGTAATTTTTATACCAAATATTTTAATAGGCCACCATTTACTACACAACTTTTATAAATCAAGCACTGTTGTAGAATCTACAGACAATACCTGACTATCATGAGAATCTCTCAATATATGTATTTATCAACATATCTCCTTTAATTAAAAAAAAAAAAATCAAGAAGTGATGCTACCAACTGAAAATGGTTCCTTCAAATTTAGAAATACTAACTCTTAGGATAACCTAAAGCTTAGACATTATCTCAACCGAAAATTATAAAACTTAAAGATCTTATCAAGAAAAAAATCATATATACATCAGTAATCACAGTAATCATAGTAGACTCTAAGAAAATCTACAGACTGCAATTATGATACCAACATATTTAACAAAAAGAAATTATTGATTCTTGATTAAGAAGTAATGAAATTACTAAAATTTGGATGTCATTTAACTTACACTCGCCAATTGTTAAACAATCTTTATCTTAACCCCAAACTAAATATCCACGCTTTCAGAAAAGCTACTTCAATCAAAATCTAAACATTTAATAATATAGCATTTAATCTGTTAAAATGTTAGAAAAGCCTTTTCTTCTTAAAGTTAAGTTTCAGGAAATGTTAGCCTTGATTCTTATATTATCTGAAAGAATTCTCTAAGGAAGAAATAGCAAAGATACAGATCAGAGTTCTTTAATCCTTTACAGTCCTGTGACTACGCTGAAAGTGGATAAAATTTACAAAGATACTACACACCAAAATGAAAACAAGCACAAAATTTTGCATACAGAAATTTATAGAGCCTTTAAGAGGTCAAAGGTTAAGACTGTCCAATCTAGATATTTGAAAGCCAGCTAACCATCATCAAAACCCTAAAACAGACTAAAAAGGACAATCAAGAAATTAGAACTTTATTTTCCTAAAGTCAGTTCTAAGATATCAAGAAAAATGTCACCTAAAAGAAGAGCCCATCTATAAACTCTAATCTTGTGACTGCCTTTAAAGTTGGCCCCTTACTCATAATCATTCTTTGGTCACTATCCATTTTCATCCTCCTACCAATGAACTCTTCAAATGAAAACTCCCAAATTCAACATCAATGCCACCAGCATTTACTTTCCAGTCTCCTTCTCATCTCTGCTGTTGGTCTGTTTATCAAACCAAATCAAAGCTAGCATTTTCTTTTTTCTACTCTTCTAGCTGGAACACCAATAATAAAGCAACCAGAAACTCTAAAAACTTTGTTTTCTAGATTCAACAATTACTTCTAAGAAAGTGCAATAATCAACTTATTCTTACTCTACTACAGGCATGCTTTTCAAAATATTAAAGTTCTTTTATGATGAATACTCAAGTGAGCTATTTGTAACAGGCCTAAACTGTACAATTAATAACAATGCAAGCAATACAGTGCTTCACAAAATACTAAGAGGCATTATTGTTGTTAATAGCAACAATAACAACAGGAGGACAGATATCCTGGAATTAATATTTAATAACTGCTTTTTAAACTATTAAGGTTTCTTTTTGTTAAAATATATTAACAGAAAATGCATGGTATCATAGAAGTGCCAAAGGTTCTAAACTCCTGAGTCACAGCACAAATTCACTAAAGATTATGACCAGGCTAGCAAGACATTCATACAAGAAACAGGATGCAGGACAGCACATTCGTCTCTTAAAAGCTAATGCTAATTGAGAAAAAATATTAAGATAATTGAAGACCAAAGATTTATCAATGGGAAAATAATCTTTGGCTGTTAACTGCTTGAATAGGCTCTAAACAATACATTTATTCAAGTGAATATTAATACATTACATTCAGGTGTTAAAATTAATGTTCAAAAAAATTCACAACAGATTTTCAAATTACTTCTATATCAGATTGTTTCTAATTAAAAGCATTTTTAAATTTAATCTTCTGTTACTTACGATATTCTTCCAAATGGTGCAAAAGCAGCTTTTATATCTTCAGTTGTAATTTCTGGACTGAGATCACCAACAAAGACATGGAAATGATCTTATAGGGGGAAGGAAGGGGAAGTGAAAAGAAAAATACAATTTTAGAATTTAAAAAAATGTTAAGATCTATTCAATAAAGTATTCTTAAAATAATTTATGTATTACAATAAAGTATAAGTAAAACTATCCTATATCTAGACAAATTCTATCAGTTTTAAACATAATGAATAATGAATCAAGGTGACAATACAGGAAAGATTCTCCTATGATATATCTAATGGGAGACTGATAGTTACATTTCTACTTATAACCAATTATTATACTGGCCAAAATAAACTAGTAATATATAACAAGTTTTGCAAAATATATATATATATATAAATAAATGACTTAATTACCATTCTAATAGTAATTATTCACATTTATTCAGTTTACCACTACATTAAATCTTTACAAATTAAAATAGTGGTATTATGAGTTATTAGGCTAGATTTGCCTCAGTTAAGACAGTTTACTGAAGCTAGCTATGCGATATACTTGGTTTAACCATATTTTGTGAAGAACAATCAAAGAAATACCTTGCATTGCAACAGTTTGATGTTAAAGTATTTGAGTTTTCTCAAAAGCCAACAGTTTTGGTTGCCCAGACATTACACCATTCAGTTTATGTGAATCCATGTGCAAGTGAACTAAGACTGAAGGCAACAGAATGAAAACAGTAATCCCTTCACTTTATATCAGAGTCATTAAAAAAGCACTGGAGAGAAATAATGATCCCATATATGAAGTTTTCTTAAAAAGACAATGTTCAAAAAAAAAAAAAGAACACTTTAAATATACAAAATAGTTGGATCAACACTTTAAATGGACATACATATCAATTCTGACAAAGTATATCTGGAAAGAAAAGTTACCCCTACTTGGCAGGCCTTAAGCAACATATTAGGTTGCCATTTGGGAGACATAGTTTCAAGTGCAACTCAAGCAATAAGATCTCCGTATGAAGCACAGAACTTGACCTCAAGGAAACAGGGTATCTTGCCCTTCAGTGGTGAAGTATTTCTAAGGCATCAGCTGCTACCAAGGGGGGGAATCAGAGAACTTGAAATAGCACCCAAGTAGTGGACAAGCCACACTTGGTCAACACTGGGAAAAAGGGGGAAAAATATTGCCAGAGAGACAAATAGAAATACTATCCCTCCCTCCCCGCTCCCCCCAACATCAAACAAAAAAACTTCAGGTGGTTAGTGAATACCCTTTCAAGAGATTTCATTTTATGTTTAAGAAGATACAATTACCTTGTGAACGCTGTGTGCTGACAACGGTACTACCTGATGACAAAGATTAGATTTGTTCTTAAATTTATTAACACAAACACAGTCAATCATATCTTAGGATAACGATCAAAACATTACTGCAAATGTATGATGTTTATATGCTTTACAAGAAAACTACTATGTACAATAAACACAAAAGTTCAAAGAGTATAAAATATACTTACTGCTTGTGTCTTTCTTTTGACTGCTGGGAGTTGTTGCCCAATTCACTTTGACTTCCTAAAAAAATTTTTTCTACATTTATATTTCATAAAAATAAAGGTCATAATCAGATATTACAAGATTTGCATCTATGAATACGAAGGTATATGTTTGACAAGAAGCATTCAAAATTTTCTGGTCAAAATTTCAATACTTTAAAAAAAAGAATTAACAACTTTGTTTCATTAAGTAAGGACATTAAAAAAATCATTACCATCTGTTATCATTGCCAATTTTTTTTTTAGAAAAGGCATCTTAACATTAGGAAAAATGCAGAAAGGACACAATCTCAGAATTATTTCATTTTTCCCTTCAATACTTATTTTTTAATGTACACTTCTGCAAATAATGTTAACAAATCCTAACCATACATAACTTCTCTATTAACATTCAACTAACCTGCCTAAAAAACCAAAGAACTTTTTCTCTTTTATTCTTCCCCATTAGTAGTCAGCATTCCTATATGTTTCAATAAAGCCTGGTAATTCAACAGTTACCTCAGTATTTGCCATGTGCAAGGCACCATGAAGAATACTAACATAAACACATGCTCTAAAAGCTTTACCCCATCATTTTAATATTAATTGTGATCGTTTTCTTTTTCTGTGTTTTTTTTTGTTTTTGTGATCATTTTCTGTAAAACAAATACAATGCTTCTAAAATGAAAACAAAACCTTTTACAACTCAGAATTTTCCAATGTATGTCACCTTCTTTAATTACGATAGCTTACCTTACCCATTATCTTCCGCCCATTCATAGCAGCTAGTGCTGCAGCTGCATGACGATGCTCATAAAACTCCACAAAACAATACGGATCATTTCCAGCTGTCTGTTGAAGAAGAGACACAAAAGTCAGTTTTAAGCTTTATATACTGTCCTTACTTTAAAACTATACAAAGTTTTATACAGCTCAGTATCAGGCCATGAAGAATGAGGGGCTGTTCTGCAAGTAAATGTTTAGGATAAGGCATTAAACAACAACAACAAAAAATTATCTTTATAGAAAGCTATCTTCTTCAACAGCTTATATTATTCTACTATATGTAATTTAGTCTTTTATTAATGACTAAATGTTCTAATTAACCTTCTTAAACCTATTACTAAAATAGAAGTAAATACACTCTAAAAACTGAAGACATTCTCAGATAAGTAGTTTTAGAATACGTTTTAGAACGTGGACTTTCTGACACCAAAATTTTTGCCTCCTTAGGTCTTTAAAAATAAAAATTCTTGGGAATTCCCTGGTGGTTTGGTGGTTAGGACTCCGTGAGTCCACTACAGGGGGCACAGGTTCAGTCCCTGATTGGCGAACTAAGATCTCGCAAGCCACTGTGCAGTGCAACCAGAAAGAAATTCTCTCTTCTCTTCTGTTGGTGTTTGAAGTAGTTGAAGCCTGATGACAGACAAAGCCTGGATGTTTTCTTATAAAGAAGTAGAAAAAACACCCAATATTTTCACACCTCTTGGTGTAAAACACCAAATGGCTTCATAGTCCATTTTAAAATTCTTTCCCTAATCGCCCAAGCAGAATTGTTAAAATAAGAAACTAATTCAAAAGACTAGAATGATAATAAAATAAAGAAATATGCCATTTTATTTCATGCACAATTAACAGTTAAAAAAAAAATGTCCCTGGCAATGATTTCAAAGAATTTTAGAGTAAAGAGGAAACCACCAAATTGATGACACTGAAACTATCCATTATTTTATCTTAAAAGCATTAGAGAATATGTAAGTGTTTTTAAAATTGTATAAGTCAAACTAATGCTATTCTTAATGGGAGTTCTATTACCAAGATCCATGTTGACAGCATCAGAATCAGAAGAGTGGTTAAAATAGTGGCTTACACCTAAGAGTATGGCAGTCAAACAAACAAGAATGTTCATTTTACTTAATTCGTGTCCAGAAAAACTACACTTTTTAGATTAAAAAAAAAAATTCTAAGCATATGCATTATCAGCCTTTGTACTCTTAAGTCTGAGTCACTCAGTCATGTCGGGTTCTTTGTGACCCTAGACTGTAGCCTGCCAGACTCCTCTGTCCATGGGATTTCCCAGGCAAGGACACTGGAGTATTCCTTCTCCAATTCATACTCTTGGGAGTATAAAATTAATAAATATGAACATTAGTCCAACAGTGTGAACAGACTGGAATTTAGACTTTAATAATAATAAAATAATGATAAGAAGCAGGAGAAAGAGTAGTCAATCTAAGTTTTTGAGTGACCAAAGTTCAATTTATACAAAGTAGCAGATGCTTCCCTAGCTAGTCTTTTTCTGTAGGTGCAGAAGTCACTAACACTTTGCCTAGCAATCTTTACCAGCAAATTGAAAGACCTAGATGGAGAGAGAATAGCAGCCTATAGACCTATGGAGAGAATAGATCAATCTGGGTTTACATCTTTGCTTTGCCTCATTTCTGTATATATTAAACAGGAATAACATCTACTTTGTATTTCTATTGAGTATTTTTGATGAGGCATCAGTATGACAATGATAGGCTGTAAGGATTTCGTAAATGCTATTACTAAGATAAGGAAGGAGACCTAGATGAAGGAAAGACTGGTTTTAAATTCTCCATCATTTCCCTATATCTCTCCTTCTTATCTTTCTCTATGGGTATGGGAATCTTTGATTCATTATCCAAAGGCATACAGATATTAAGTATGAGTAACAGAACACTTCAGAAGAGTTATGTAAAGGATAAAAACATCTGCTGAATCCATCTGTATTATGTGTAGGTGACTCTGCCACATTAGGAGAAAAGTTTTGACATTTTAAAATACAAGACAACAAACCAAAGCCAACTGGCTAAATAAGTACTTTTAAAAATATCAAGTTAAAAGAAGTTAAACTGGAATATAATAGAAGAGAAAGTAGTAGATACCAATACATACATGACTTTCTTTCCCAGAGAAACAAAAACTAAAAGTTTAAATGCAGGAAAGACCACAGGATAAAAGGATTTCTCTTTAGTGCTATTTTTCTCATCAAGAGAAATTGAAGCTGCCTTTTTACACATATTATGACTCAGGATTAATTACCGATTACGTGAGTGAATTGATGTTTTTTCTATACATTAAGGTCTGATGAATGGGCACTGCCACAATTCAAGAAAGACTTGAACTGTGACCTTTAAAAATAAAGTTTAAAACATCTTCACATTATCAAAGTCTACTATTTCTTTTGCCTAATTTCCCATTTTAATTAATAATTGAATTTACAGATTTGCTAATCAACTGACACCACATACAAAACAAACAATTCTGATGCCTCAATACATTTTAAAACAAGAGCCCCACATATAGTTCTCATCTGTTTTGGAAATGATTAGATCTAGTCTCTCTTTACTGAGTAAAACAAACTTGGTGGCCAAAATGGACTTACTACAAATTTACTAAAACCTTTATGAATTGAGACTGTATAAACCAATTTAAGAGATCCTAGAAGTAATGGATTTAAAGAATGTATTTAAAAAAAAAAAGAAGAAAGTTAACTAAGTAAAATACCCTTACATCCATAATCATTTTGCAGTTTTTACAAGGTCCAATCTGGCTAAAGAGCTGGAGAATTAGAGCTTCTGTGACATCTCTGGAAAGGTTACCAACATATCTGAAACACAAAGGAAAACAATTCACCACTTAAAATTTGCTTCTTTTAAATCAGTTCCTAAAGTTGAATACTGAACAGTGAATTGGGGGAATAGGCAGATCTTTGCTGTGTACTACACTATTTAGGAACTTATAAAAGTTTGAAAACTTCAAAATCTCTTACAAAACAGATGTAAGATATGTTACTTACAAATATACTAGACAGTTAGTAGAGGGAAATTAGTAAGTATCTGTTTTTAGTGAAGAATGCACAAATTAAACCTGTTGCTTTAAGTTTCTAGGCTTATCTTAGGAAGATATACCTAAAATCTCTCAAATGAATCATTTGACATGTAGAACAACTCATACAATCAATCCTAGAAAACTCTGCAATTATTCTCCTTCTACAGCATTACTGAGAACATTAGATAAAATTTCCTCAATGTTTAATTCACAATTGTCCTAAAAGTGTCCAACTGAGGTATACTTTGGTTTAGACAGTAAACATATTTTTGAAAGATCATGAATCAATCACTATCAGCTGTTATACATGCTCACAAAAGAAAGGGAAGCCTTTTAATGAATATCACTGATCAGTGGAAGCAGAAAGGAAGTAGAAAGATTCTAGGAGAGACTTTTAACAGATAATATAAGTTGGGACTAACAAAACTACTGTAAATAATGTATTACAAGACAAAATGACTGGCATGATCCTTACTTTTTTAGGGGGGAGGAGGATAATCCTTATTTAAAGGGTTTATAAATATTCAAAATGGGATTTTGAAATGCAATTACCTCCAGGTATGTTAGTTTTATTACTTCTGAAATCAGAGAACGTAGTCTCCCAACAACTGTAGATGTTTTAATTCTTCTGCTAAGGTTCCTTCAGGGAATGTGATGAAAGGTACGGACCCTCTCCCCAGAAAAATAAAACACCTATACGTGCCAGAAAGTGTGGATTCAATTTCTTCCTTCCACTTACCCATTCAACAGACTATTGAATGCTTACTATGAAGGCACAGGAATAGGCTAAAATGGCGAAGAGAGAAGTGCGGAGTCTTAAGAACAATGAACAATTCGTTTACAGAAAAATGCTAGACAATAATCGTAGACAGACAGCATTAAATTAACGATGTGTAACCCTACTGAAATCATTGATTCAGGCATGAACCATCAACAGATGTAAAACTTAGGTGAAAGGCTGGTAAGAAAATGGATATGTGCAGGGTGCCTAAGATGTCACATAGATTACTTAACAATTGCAAAGGGAAAATTCACCTTATAAGTGAGAACTCTACACTGTTCAGAATGGCCATCATCAAAAAGTCTGCAAACGATAAATGCTGGAGAGGGTGTGGAGAAAAGGGAACCCTCTTGTACCGTTGGTGGGAATGTAAATTGATATAGCCACTATGGAAGATGGTATGGAGATTCCTTAAAAAAACAGGAATAAAACCACCATATGACCCAACAATCCCACTCCTAGGGATATACCCTGAGGAACCCAGGGTTGAAAAAGACACATGTATCCCACTGTTCATTGCAGCACTATTTACAATAGCTAGAACACGGAAATAACCTAGATGTCCATTGGCAGATGAATGGATAAACAAGTTGTGGTACATATACACAATGGAATATTACCCAGCCATAAAAAGGAACTTATTTGAGTCAGTTCTGATGAGGTGGATGAACCTAGAACCTATTATACAAAGTGACGTGAGTCAGAAAGAGAAAGATAAATATCATATTCTAACGCACATATTTGGAATATAGAAAAATTTATTATTTTATTTATTTACAGGGCAGCAATGGAGACATAGAGAATAGACTTATGGACATGGGGAGAGGGAAGGAGAGTGTAAGATGTATGGAAAGAGTAACATGGAAACTTATATTACTATATGTAAAATAGATAGCCAACGGGAATTTGCTGTATGGCCCAGGAAACTCAAACAGGGGCTCTGTATCAACCTAGAGGGGTGGGAGGCAGATGGGAGGGAGGTTCAAAAGGGAGGGCATATATGTATACCTGTGGCTGATTCATGTTGAGGTTTGAGAGAAAACAACAAATTTCTGTAAAGCAATTATCCTTCAATAAAAAAATAAGGAGAAAAGTGAGATCTTTAGGCCACTTTGACCCTGTGATCAAACTTTAAATCATGTTATGAATGAACAATTAGACAATGTGTATACAATATCATATATGAAATATTCAAGTCAGAAAGATCTAACTTGAATTTAGCTAAGCTTAAATTCAGATCTAAGTTTACAGGATATTGGGCATATAAAACAATTACACAAATTCAGATCTGGGATATTATATAAGGTGACTTATTTGATATCTTAAAGGTTACCGTCCATAAAAAAAAAAAATAAAAAGGAAGACTACTTTTGATTAAGAGGGACTTAAAAGACACTGACAACTTAATATTTACAATGAATAATCCTTGACTGAAAACTGGATTAGGGAGGGGGTGAGAAATAGCTTTTTCTTACAGAATTCTAATTAATAAATGTATAAGAAATGAGGGAAATCATCATTAAAACACCTTAGTAATAATGTTACAGGTAAGAATTCTTTGATACACCTCCCTCTATGAAGTGAAGCTTAATTTTCCTCTCCTTGAGTGTGGGCAACACTTAGTGACTCAATTCTGACAAGGTATGTTGAGGAAAAAGACAGTCACAATATAGTGGAGATAAGATCTCGGCATCCGGTCCAATCACTTCAAGGCAAATAGATAGGGAAACAATGGAAACAGTGACAGACTACTATTTTGGGCTCCAAAATCACTGCAGATGGTGACTGCAGCCATGAAATTAAAAGACACTTGCTCCTTGGAAGGAAAGCTATGATCAATCTGGACAGCATAATAAAAAGCAGAGACATTACTTTGCCAACAAAGGTCCGTCTAGTCAAGGCTATGGTTTTCCCAGTGGTCATGTATAGATGTTAGAGTTGGACTATAAAGAAAGCTGAGTACCGAAGAATTGATGCTTTTGAACTGTGGTGTTGAAGAAGACTCAAGAGTGCCTTGGACTGCAAGGAGATCCAACCAGTCCATCCTAAAAGAAATCAAACCTGAATATTCATTGGAAGGACTGATGCTGAAGCTGAAACTCCAATACTTTGGCCACCTGATGTGAAGAACTGACTCACTAGAAAAGACCCGATGCTAGGAAAGATTGAAGGCAGGAGGAAAAGGGGATGACAGAGGATGAGATGGTTGGATGGCATCACTGACTCAATGGACATGAGTTTGAGTAAGCTCCAGGAGGTGGTGATGGACAGGGAGGCCTGGCGTGCTGCATGCAGTCCATGCGGTCACAAAGAGTTGGACACGACTGAGTGACTGAACTAAAATGATACAGAGGAGAAACTGTACCCTTCATAAGTGCCACAATGAAAGATATCTCCTCACATGTTATAGGAAAGTAAAGAGACATGACAACTAAACACAATGTATTTTGGATTAGATATAGGAATAGAAAAAGGACATTAAAAAAAAAAGAAAAAGGACATTAGTGGGAAAACAGTAATAAAACTTGCAGTTAATAGTATTGTACCAATCTATTAACTTCTTAGTTTTGATAATCATACTATGGTTATGTAAGATATTAACATTAAGGGAAGGGTGATGGTCAAGTGAAAACTCTGAACCATCTCTGTAACTCTTCAGTGTCTATTTTTACCCAACTCATGTGCCTATAAGAAACCCTAAGGATTGCATATGTCTAAGGGAAAAAATGGCTCTTCTGAAAATTTAATTCTAACATCTACTTTGCTAAAGCTAGGTAATCCAGTGATAAACTGACAGTATGTAGGGAACCTGGAGTCTGTCATTCACTCTGCAAAACTTCAAGATTTTTCTCAGAAAAAAATTTTCTCAAATCTTTTCTCAGAAACTCAAAATTTCTAAGTGATTTTCCCAATTTGAAGATGGCTAATAAAAGCTACTCTAAAAAGCATTAAGGTCTGTACTGCCTTTGTATTTAATGTGGCCTGCTATATAATGTAAATTCCCAGAGCTTTTATCAATTAACTACACACAGCCGTTTACACAAACAACTTTCAACCTTTGACACCATTACAATAAACCTTAACATATGTAACAGTCTCAGTTTTATAAAACAAGTTTCTTTAGTTGTCCCATACTTTGTCACATATTATTCTGTTTCTGAGGCAAAGGATTTCCTATCAACAGTATAGATTTAAGTTACATATGTAAGTTTTTTTTTTTTTCCTTTCAGGCTGCCAAACATCTTCCTACATTTAGAGAAATCTTCACCCTATGGCAAAGCCTGACTCCTCTTCAAAAGATGAAAGGCTTTAATACAGTTATATAGTCTACCATGTATATAATCTGGGCTAGGTCATATTAGAGATACCTGCCCTGAACACAGAAGTCAAAGACAGGGGTTACAGAAGCAGAAACTGAAGATAATCCACTTTGGTGGCAAATAGCAGCAGAGTCCCAGGTCCAGTGAAGTTGAAGTTGTGGTATCAGGCCCTCACTGTATGTGGTAGGAGTATCCTTTTTGGGATGATCTGTAGTTTGATTAGGACTGTGGGCCTGACAGTTCTCTCTCTTTCCTGAACATTTTCTAAGCCAGGTTCCATAAACTTCCTCCAAATTCTGAAAGTGTCCTCTCTCTCTCTATCTATATATATATACATATTTTTTTTTTTAAAGAGCATGATTGAACAATTCTGAAGCTACTTTTTGAAATTCTAAGACTGAGCAAACAAGTAAATATACTGGGAATATATATATAGGCAATAGAAACCAAGTTCTTCACAGCTGGGAGAATGGAGTTACAAATACAGAGAGGGGAAAGAACAGAATGAACTCTGTAGCATCAGACTAGAATTGGAACTATCAGTGCAAACTCTTGGGCATGTGTATCTCATTCATTTCCCAGCTCTAACCTCCTAGTAGGCCTGGTTCAAAGACCTAATGAAGCTCAGGTTCTCGATGTCTCACTGCACAAAGAACTCAGTGAGACAAAGTGATAGGT